TTGTCACTTTTTTCACATTTTAAATGAATTGTTTCTTTTATTTTTGTGTATGGTTAATAACCGAATAACCGAACCAAACCAAATCGAAACCGATAAATGTATATTATATTTGGTTTGGTTTGGTTTTGATAATTTTAAAACCGATTAAGTTGGTTTGGTTTTGGTTTTGACCAATAACCGATCCAAACCAACCCGTGAACACCCCTACTAGTGATCAATATGATCTCACAATATTGTGTTTTCTTCTCATGAGTTTGAATTTACCGTTATAATAACGATTTTGTCTTCAACCATTATATTGGTGTTATCACAATTAATCAAAATTAGAAAAAATATTTTCTCAAAATAAAGTGTTTCAATTCACTTTTTCACTAGTTGAAGTTTAATTTTTTTACTTCAACCTTCATAATAGAGTTAGCAAAAAATAATTTGCTTTTCTCATCCCACCAAATAACACCAAATTTTTCTCATCTAGTTTGCTTGTACCTTCAAAGTACTTGTACTGCAAACACAGCATCAAGTCAAGTTGTTAGTCACATAGTTCATATTTTTATTAGGCTAGCAAACTCCTTTTTTTTATTTGTCACAACTTTCTCACACAATTGAATATAAAGGAGTTGCAAGACTCACACAACCAACAAAATTGTATTTCACAAACTTTTCAATAATATGTGACTCGAAAAGGAAAATACATCACATGTTTAATAGTATTTCTTCATTTCAAGAATGAAATTTGTTTTCCTCACCCAAAACATTTCATGTTAAATGGCTACTCAACATGGCTTTCTTAATTTATTTATAACTCTCGTGTTAGAGCCAAAAGTCATCACAATACAAAAAATAATAACATGTGATTTATTCCACAATTAATATATATGCACTTGTAATACTCTTTTTTTTAGAGCATTTCTCAAAGATGCAAAAATCATTTTTTTTCACAATGGTTTTTTTCCTCATTTCATGAGCCCCTACTATTTGAAGAATTTAAATATCATTTTTTTCATGAAAAGTAGTATCACTTTATTCATGAAAATACTAGGTAAAAAAGTTTTTTTCCTTTACCTTTTCTCCACTTGAATTGAGCAAGTAGAAAAACACTTTACCGTACACCTCTTCTCTTACATCTCTTGAAGAGAGCGACGTTGAGCGAAATTATGTTGAGATCCCTATCTTGATATCCACACTTTTTCAA